TCACCAGGTGACACAGGCTGAGTCGCTTCAGCAACCGATGAGACATCAGTTGCTGTGGTTTCTGCTTCGGCGCCCGCACAGAGACGTGCGGACGCGCTCTCGGCGGCCTTGCTCACGCATCGCATGGGCTTGTTAACCATGCGATGAGGTATTGGAAAGTGGACTCGTACCAACAAGTGCAAACCCTGTCCCAAATGATTTGGGACGAGTATCCATTTCGTAAATCAGTCACTAAAGTGACTGATGGTTAAGGGGAGGTGATGTAACGAGGTGAATCGTTACATAACAATTTATAAGAAATTGTTAATAGAATATAACTATAAGATTTATATTCTCAGAAGATTGTCATAAGGACAAATATTCTGTAGCACTTACGAGTAGTTCCCAACTGGTTGATATAGGCCATTTTATCAACCAACGAAGACGCGCCACGACAGACGCACGCAATGAGTGGTGAGCAGATAGTTGATATGCACCTTTGCATTTCGACATAGTTAGATGAAGATAAATAGTGATTTATTGCAGACATTAACTATGATAAATACAGTTCTACTTTTTACTTTAACCAAGTACTCGCTTCTTCTTACCGTCTTCCTCTGCACGTACAGGTGTACGTGAAGTTCCGAGGCACCGCCTTATTCTGTCACCAGAATAAGTAGCTTGTACTGTTACCAGTACAAGCTTCAGGGTGCCCCGTTACATACACACATCTTACCTAATTCCACACCCTTCGTCAAACCTGAGGTTTGCACCCTTCTTGCTAAACCTGGCATTCACGCCCTTTTACCAAACCAGTGGTTATGCCATCTTCACCTCCACCAGGCCACTTCATCTAGTGCTCCTGTCTATGTTATAATTGATTTGAAGTATTTGCATCTCCACCGCACTACTTTGAGATAGGGGAGCAAGCTCTGGAGATTGCTCGTTGATAAAAGTAATTTGCTCCGGAGACTGAATCAAGTTGCAAAACACCATACAGCAGCAGCACTGAACAACTGGTCTGGTGCTGTCTACGTATGAATGAAGCCAGTACAGTATACTCGGGCAACGCGATCTGCCTTTGCTGATGAGCCTTTGCATTAATGACCATATTCGCCTTTAATCAATTTACAACCAATTACGTGCGCGCATCACAAAGGTGACCCAGCCAAAGAGTGACTTCGAATGTGCCTGAATTATAAAGAGGGGGAACAGGCTAATTCGCATTTAATACGGACGTGTAAGGTACACCTAGCGTTGGTTACAGACAGACACACGGATAGGCACGGCCCAAAGATCTGCGTTTAGATTGCGCACACTCCCTAACAGCTTCACTCTTCGGGCTTACAATCATCATATCATCAGCTTTGCAAAAAAAATGACTTTTGGTGATCGCTTCGTCAAAAGAAGTTTCTGGTGATATCCATCACCTTTCAGCTACGATGTACAATTTTTAGAATCTGCTTTCTGTAGTGTTGATAAGTCGATTCTGTGTTGTTGGTCATTCGCTTCACACTTGTTACGAAAATGCTTGAAGAGATATGCTAGGGTAGTTCAAATAGCGGCGAACGAATAGAAACATGTAGGTTTATCAGCTACATTTAGCTTCGGCTGCAGAATCATCTTGGATGATCTTAAGCGATAGAGAAGCAGTATACCGAATGATATGTGAATATTTGCGACTCAACTACGATCATTAACTTCCGCGTCAATTTTCATGATGCGACTTTGCTGCTTACAGACAATTACAGCCATTGAAGCAGTAAAAGTATCTCGATGATGTTGATTGTAGTCAAACATCATTAAAGAGCACGCAACAAACAATATTACTAGACGAAAAATACCGTCCCTCCTACCTTTTACGATCGCGCGGACGCATCATTTCGGTGGACCTGTTGACTGTGTAGCTATGAATGTAACGTAGCACTGGTCACTATTTATGCTTCAGCACTAGTGCACCTGCACTGACAACAGTGTAGGTAGTGCCGCGCGTCACGTCACGTATATCTTACGTGTAGAGGGAGGATAGATAGTGAACGACGCGTTCAATAGGAGTAGAAAGTAAAACTGTACAATATACAAGTAAGTCCGGATCATTAACCTATGCTTCAGTCCTAGCTTGATTATATGCATCTACAAAAGCGTATGCGAAAGTCTTGCTCACCACTCATCGCGTGCGTCCATCGTTGATCGGACCGCTAGAGCTGGCTGACACGATGGCCGATATCAGCCAATCGGTCCGTGCTTTGCAGCATTACCCCTTATGGTGATATTCTCAAACATTATCAGCCTTTATGATAATACTCGAGAATCAAGGTAATTTGCTTGTAACAGGATCATCCTGTTACAAGAAACGCAGCCTCAAAAGCTGTAAAAGCACCTTTCGATTGCGCTTCTTGCCCGTGGCAAGGAACACGTTGGCTGGTGCATGACTAATCCGTTCTGCTGAGGTTGTGGAGATCCGAAGACTGGGCTTCTCTCTGATCCAGTCTTGTATTTGAGCCAGTTTTATGCCTGGTGTGCGTGCGATGTAGACCTGCACTGACGCTTTGGCTCCATCGTCAGAATCGTTTGCTTTGCCGACATGTTTAAGGTGCAACGAAAACAAATTTGCAAAATGGCAGACAATGCGAGACTTTGGCAAGTCCAATATAGACGGAAGACTGGTGGTTGGTGCACGTTTAGTGTAACGGGGCACCCTGAAGCTTGTACTGGTGACAGTACAAGCTACTTATTCTGATGACAGAATAAGGCGGTGCCTCGTAACTTCACGTACACTCGTACGTGCAGAGGAAGACGGTAAGAAGAAGCGAGTACTTGGTTAAAGTAAAAAGTAGAACTGTATTTAGTATAGTTAATGTCTGCAATAAATCACTATTTATCTTCATCTAACTATGTCTAAATACAAATGTGCATATCAACTATCTGCTCACCACTCATTGCGTGCGTCTGTCGTGGCGCGTCTTCGTTGGTTGATATAATGGCCTATATCAACCAATTAGGAACTACTCGTAAGTGCTACAGAATATTTGCCCTTATGACAATATTCTGAGAATATAAATCTTATAGTTATATTCTATTAACAATTTCTTATAAATTGTTATGTAACGATTCACCCCGTTACATCACCCCCCCTTAACCATCAGTCACTTTAGTGACTGATTTACGAAATGGATACTCGTCCCAAATCATTTGGGACAGGGTTTGCACTTGTTGGTCCGCGTCCACTTTCCAACATCTCATCGCATGGTAAACAAGCCCATGCGATGCGCGAGCAAGGCCGCCGAGAGCGCGTCTGCACGTCTCTGTGCGGACGCCGAAGCAGAAACAACAGCAACTGATGTCTCATCGGTTGCTGAAGCGACCCAGCCTGTGTCACCTGGTGATGCAGGCGCTCGTCATGAAGACACTCGTGTCTTCACAGAGTACGAGCTCGGTGTCTCGTACTCTCCTGATACGGATGACGGATCCGTATCGACGGCGATTGAATCTAAGCCGCCTGCCAAGCGTGGCATGGACGATGCTTTGCGTCGTAGCATCTTTGGTTCATCTGATGAATCAGATGAACCATCGCCGAAGCGAAGGCGCTCGAGGTCGCGAGACTCGGGCGATCACAGTGGTGTCGGTTCTCCCATTGACACCACTTCACAACGAGGTGCCAGCCCTTCTGTCGGCACGTCGCAAGAAGAGCGTGACCTCAATGTCTTGCGTCTCGCTCCAGAAAAGAAGGCATGGATGCCTCCAAAATCCGTCATGGATCACTTGTCGGCGACGACGAGTGATCGTTATCGAACACGATTGTTCGATTCGTCAAGGATCCATCACCTTGACCCCAGCGCGAAAAACTATCGCGCTGAACATGAATTTTTCATCGATGCTTTCTTTAGACATCGATGGTACAGTGGGAATCACAAACGTGATGGTCCCTCACTACTTCAGGCGTGGAACGCCTACATCCATAACCTCGAGGATGTAGGTCGTGACGCTTGGAACGACAAACTTATCAAAGCTCGTGATAAGTTTGAAAAGCGAACCCCGACAGGTGCACGCTACAAGCTGCATCGTCTGTCAAGGGAGAAAGGATTACCCTGCCTCTCTTGGGGAGACTCGTGCCCATGTTGTGTGAACAACTCTGCACGAGCACCTAAGGAGGCTTACCTCCTTACCAGCCCGTGGTGGCGCGTACGTGTCTCTACTGAGATGTACGAAGGGATTGACAACCTGAAATCCATTTACGACCGTGCCGGGAAGACTTTCTCCGGCGGTCCTTCTGCGGCACAGGATGTGCCGCGTCGTACTGCTCAACCAGACCCAGTACGTCGATCATCAGTTGGGAGCGGGGCTCCCAAGAATCCCAGGACGGGGGATAGCCGCGCCACCGGACGAGATAACTCGTCCGACGTCCGTTCACGTCGCGGTGGTTCAACAGCTGCTCAACTAGATAGCGCTGGCACCGCGAGAGTCCTCTAATGGAGGTGGAGGAGGAGGAAAGACGCTCTCCACACGATCATGTGGATCGGTGTGTTCCCGAGAGCTTCTTTGATCGCGTAACGCAAGGGTTACGCGACGATCTCGAGCATGAGCGGAATGGGCGTCTCCAAATGGCGGACACTGCCTCGAAGCATCGAGCTGAGTTTGCCTTTGCTCAGCTTGAGAACGAGAGATCTCTGACATCTCTTCGTGACGAGCTAAGGGTAGCTCGTGGGATTGCTGATCGGTCTCGGGATGAGATAGCTGCTCTTCAGACCCTTGTTGATGCCCACCATCGGGAGCACAAGGCTCTCTGCGAGATGCTTGAGCGCAAGGGCGTTCTTCATCGGAAGAAGCAGCGTACTGCTGGTACGGCTTAAGCCGACCAACGTAAAACGTGGGATGCGTTCGCATCTTACGTGGCAACTCGATCGTGTATGCATTGCCTAGGCGGTGCAATACACGAAATGGACCGATGTACTTGGGTAGTAGTTTACTGCTACCCAAGTTAGTCACTACATGCTTTGGTAGATTAACCGTAGACAGTAGGACTAAGTCACCTTTATTAAATAAAAGAGTGTTTGCCCTTCCATTCTTGTCAGCGTTTTGCTTTTGCTTATCCACCGCTTCGGCGATGGAGTCTTGCACAAAACGGACTACCGTTTCACGAGCCAGTATGAACTCATCTGATGACTCGTTAGCTTCAGTGTGCTGTGAGCGCACTGCAGCAACATCAACCTTTTCTTCAGTGAGAGCCTCCGCACTCTCACTTGGATCATCTTCTTCAGTGAGGGCTTCCGCACTCTCACTGGCATCATCTTCTTCGATATCGATGTTATCGATATCGGCATCAAACGCAATGACTTCCTCGTCAGAGCGTGATGAGCGTGAACCAAATCGGTTTTTGCTCGCGCGAGTCCCTCCCCCCCTTAAACCAGAGTTACACTCTAGTAAGGTGGGTACACGCGGATGGCGCAAGCCATTCACGTAAAACGGTGTATGTGTCGTGGACGCATGCACCGAGTTGTTGATGGCAAACTCTACCATCGGCAAAAACTCACTCCAACTCTTAAAGGAGTGTACGTATCCTCGAAGTATCTCTTCGAGGACACGGTTGGCACGTTCCGTCTGACCATCTGACTCTGGATGATCAGATGTTGACATCTTCAAGCGCGTTCCGAGTGATTTGAACACGGAACGCCAGAAATCAGCAGTGAATCGTGGATCTCTGTCTGATACGAGTTCACGGGGCAACCCATGAAGTCGGAAGATGGTGTCAATAAAGACACAAGCACAGCCACTTGCCGTGATTGTCTCTGGTACAGCCACAAGGTGTACCATTTTGCTGAATCTGTCAACAAATACGAGAATACCCGTATTACCGCGTGCGTCTTTGGGTAACCCGAAGACGAAATCCATTGAGATGGATTCCCAGCACTCAGCCGGAACCGGTAGAGGCTGTAAAGGTGCACGCAGTGAAGGACTTGACTTCACTCGTTGGCAGACTTCGCATGCGCGAACATACTTTCGCACAAACTGATACTGGCGGGGCCAGTAAAAGTCTCGACTCACCGTGAGATATGTTTTCTCTCGGCCACGATGTCCTCCTATAGAAGCATCGTGATACTCGAACATGATCCGCAAACGCAGATCAGTATCATCTGGAATGACAACACGTGGTGTGTCACCAGAAACGGCTGTATAGTACAGTAAACCGTTACGAGTAGTGTATCGATCTGATGCAGATCGATACGCAGACGACAATCGTTTCAACGATTCTCGAGATGGTTGGGAGAGATGTGTCAACAACTTCACTATCTCACCATCTTGGGTGTATGCCCGCCTCACATCATCATACAACGTTGTAGATGGGACTGAGGACGTCATAACCGCAACAGTGACTGTCTCACTGTTGGGTTTCGCGACTGTTTCAAAGTCGGGACGACGTGAGAGTGCATCAGCGACGACATTAAGTCGTCCTGGTTTGTACTCGACCGTAAAGTTGTATTCCGCAAAGAATGACAACCACCGCGCCATTCGTTGTGAAAGGTGCGGGCTGTTCACTGCCGTGCGTAATGACGCATGGTCAGTGTAAACAACGAAGGGTCTATCTCCTAATAGATAGACTCTGAACTTCGCGAGTGCATACTTCATGGCAAGGCGTTCCTTGTCATGCACTGGATAGTTCCGCTCAGCTGGTTGCAGCTGACGCGACTGATAGCATACGACGCGTTCAACGCCTTCAAGATCGTACTGCATTAATGTACAGCCGATTGCGAAATTGCTGGCATCACAGACCACATGAAATGGCCTGTCCTGATCGGCTATTGCTAGGACTGGGGATTGTATCAAGCTCTGCTTGATACCCTCAAAGGAGCGCTGACATTCAGCGTTCCATAACCACCTCTCGCTCTTTTTCAACAAACGAGAGAGGTGCACAGTCATCTCGGCGTAATTGCGTGAATACTTATGCAAATACGCCGCTAGCCCAAGGAATTTTCGAAGACCTTTGACATCAACCGGCACAGGCCAGTCGGTGATCGCCTTGATCTTTTCGGGATCAGGACGTACACCGTTCTTACCAATGATGCACCCAAGAAGTGGTATTTCGCTTGCGGCAAATATACACTTCTTGAGGTTTGCATACAATTGATGCTTTCGCATGATTGTAAGAACCTGTCGGACGTGGTACCTGTGAACCTCAAAGTCCGACTTTCCATCCATAGCTCGACTATGGATGAATACGTCATCGAAATAACTCGGCGCGAATTCTCGTACTGGTCTTCACAGATGTGATACACATCTGTTGAATGTGGCAGGGGCATTACTAAGCCCTTGTGGCATTACTAGCCATTCCCAGAGCATGCCGCTAGGCGTGCTCACTGCGGTATAGGGTATATCCCGTTCTCGCATAAGGATTTGATAGAAGCCATCCATCAAATCGATGGACGAAAAGATGGTACTCTTTGACATACCATCAATGATTACGTCCTTCCTCAGTATCGGCGTCTGAGCCGGTACCGTTGCAGCGTTCAATTTGTTGAACGCGTGCACTATCCGCCACCCTCCTGTTGCTTTTCGCACACAGAAGGTCGGAGAGCTATGTGGGGAAGTTGATTCCCTCACATGGCCCGCTGCTAAACGATCGGCAAAGAACTTGTCGATCGCAAGTACTTGTTCACGAGGCAGTGGCCACTGCTTCATGACACAGTACTTCGAGCCTGGTTTAAGCTCGACCTCGTGTCGGATACCTTTATCCTTCGGTAATTCGCACGGAACAGTTTCAGGGAATACATCCTTGAATTCAACCAAATCTTCATAGAGAGGATTTTTCTTGAGCGATTCCCATGATTGGGAGTCATATGGCTCAACTCGTGTCTTTTCAGCGAGGACACTCTCGTCCATAGATGAACTACTGAGAACTCTCTCGTTCTCAGTGAACACTGTTGCTGACCTTATGTCGGTTACACACTCGTCGTCAGCGACGAGTATGCAGATCTGCTTGACTTTGCCACTACGCAGATCACGCAAGAACCTTTTATGTTCGAGCGTTGGCAACTGAGTGATCTCCGAAGTCAACTTCGGAGGCGCAATCAGATCGAGTGTATAAGCGCCTACACTTGATCCGTTATTGACTATGACATTCATTGTCTCTGTCATTTCCTGGGGACTTATTCCCTCAGGCTTCGAAGGAATTATTCCTTCGGCTTCCCGGGGACTTATTCCCGCGGGTTTCGGGGAACTTATTTCCGCCGTATTTGTAATCTTGGGACTTATTCCCTTTACTTCCTCTAGCTGGGGTTGCGCAACCACAGCGAGATCCTCTACGAAAGACTCTCCAGTCGATCTAGGATTATCGTTTCGCTTAACCTGAGCGATCGATTGTTTCTCTTCTAGATGTTCCCCGCTAGGGATACATCTTTGTCCCGGTCCACCCGACTTATTCGAGTGGTGGACCTTCGGCGCAGCCTGTGTTTCCTCACAGCCGCCGTAACTTTGCTCCGAAGTGTAACCGTTTGGTACACTAAGGTTTTGTGCAGTCGTACTAACGACCGTACCACAAGTGAGGCCATCGCACTCACTCGTAGTACATCCACACGCTTGTGGACGCTCCAAAACGTTCATCAGATGGCCATCTGATGAACAAGCGGCAGGCATCGTTACTGTCCGATGTTGCCAGTTCACCCGTGGTTCGTACCTTCTGAGCCACGGTATTCCAAGGATGACATCAAATTTGTCATCCAAATCCAATACGATAAAGTCATCGTCATATTGGGTATCTTCTAGCGTATAGTGGTTCTTCACTATACGCTTCATGACGGTTACGGATGCGCCTGTCGCAAGACGTACCGTCATCCTCGTAGGAGGTGTGTCACATTCACTGAATTTAAAGTGACAATCTTCTAGCGATTGGCGTCGCACAAAATTGTTGGACGCCCCACAATCGACTAGAGCTCGAAGGGACAACTTATTCGTCACTTCGAGTTTCAAGGTAATGAGTGAGACCTCATTACCTAGAGCAGCAACGCACAACGTTTGTGTGTTGGGAGCAACCTTCATCAAGAGGCCTACAAATTCTCTTGACGTTGCTAGACCAGTAGGGTGCTCCGCACCTACTGATCCTGTCCGTTTTTTGACGGTCCATCCCGTTGTTGCGTCTTTGCACCAACTGCGGACCCTCGTCCCTGCCCCTTTCTCATGGGTGGACGGTCACTACGCCCAGTGTTGCGAGACACCGGACGAGGGGCACTACACTCGTAAGCGTAGTGTCCTTGTCTTCTGACATCTGTTGCATTTCTGCAACTTCTTGTAGTTTGTTAAGCGAGCCTTCTCGCTCTCTACATAACAGAGTTCCATCGGCTCTGGACCTCCGCTGTCATATCGTCTCGGTTGACGATATGATGTCGAGCTGGCGCGAGCCTGTCTCAGACTGAAGTCTTCCTGCTCCGCAATGGAAATGGCTTGTTCTAGTGAATCTAGTTCAAGCCGGAACAGGTGAGTCTTGACGGGACCATCCGCAAGACCCTGCATGAACACCGAAACCAACGTGTGTTCATCCACCGGATTGGAACTTATACAACTCGTGAGATGTCGTATATGTTGCGCGTAAGCGGGCACATCACGCTTACCCTGTTTAAGCTTCAAGAGTTCGGTTCGAGCCCTGAACTCAGCTCTAGGCGGTTCAAACGTTTGTCTGAGCCGCGACTTGAAGACTTCCAACGACCCAAACGCATATGGGTCGTGCAACTTGAGCCCCAGTGCCCAAGTCTTGGCACGTCCTGCCAGATTCGACTGGGCAAATGCAACTTGCATATCCCCGTCGTCGATGCGACGCGCCCTTATGGCGTCATCCAATTCGACGAACCATCTCGAGAGGGAGTCCTCTTCGACCCCCCTATACTTGGAGATGTCAATCTTCAAAGTCTCGGGTCGACGCGAGTGCATCGACCCGCCAGCAACAGCCTGCTGCTGTCTCAACAGTTCAAACTGTTGAGCACCCTGTTCTCTCAACAACTCTGCTTGTTGAGAACCTTGTTGGTGAAGCAAGGCTACTTTCTCGCGTTCTGCGTCAAGTTCATTTTGAATGAACTTGGCGATAGTAGCATGTTGGGCATCTCTATTGAGAGCCTCTAGCACGACGCTAACAGCATGGATGCCCATGGTTGAACCCATCCGTTCAACCGCATCCCATTCGACATCGCTCAAATGGGAGTAGCCGTCACGCGTAGCGTGAAAGCTTTGGTCGTCTTCATCATCTAACAGATTCATTTTAATTGGGAACGTGGTCCTTGGACGAACTACGAAGTGCTACCAGGTGTAACGGGGCACCCTGAAGCTTGTACTGGTGACAGTACAAGCTACTTATTCTGATGACAGAATAAGGCGGTGCCTCGTAACTTCACGTACACTCGTACGTGCAGAGGAAGACGGTAAGAAGAAGCGAGTACTTGGTTAAAGTAAAAAGTAGAACTGTATTTAGTATAGTTAATGTCTGCAATAAATCACTATTTATCTTCATCTAACTATGTCTAAATACAAATGTGTAAATCAATTATCTGCTCACCACTCATTGCGTGCGTCTGTCGTGGCGCGTCTTCGTTGGTTGATATAATGGCCTATATCAACCAGTTGGGAACTACTCGTAAGTGCTACAGAATATTTGTCCTTATGACAATATTCTGAGAATATAACTCTTATAGTTATATTCTATTAACAATTTCTTATAAATTGTTATGTAACGATTCACCCCGTTACATTTAGTCCCTATTTCTTGGGTATTGTCAATTGTACCCCACTTTTTGCTAAATACAACCCATGCACCGCATGTAACGGGGTGAATC